CGTGTGCTAAGTAAGTGTGATGGAAGCAGTAAGAAAGAGAATTTTGATAAGAAGCAATGAAGGGATGTAAATGTAAACAGGCACACAAGAAACTCTTACCTGTGGAAATGACCCAAACTGAGATACAATGCACAGGAAGGGCCAAAATTAGAGTGTCATGGTGAAGAGAAGAGCAGGGGCAAAGTGCTGAGCAGAGAGACAGGCATGGCCTGTTCTGGGAAGTATTGGAAGGTCGACGGTACAGTTTACAACTATATCAACTACAGTTTACAATTATAGTTCTCTGACGAGAACTGTACCAAGCAAAACAGGGAGCAGACAGGAATGGCAACTGTGGCCTGTTCCAAAGCACAATGTTTATCTGGATAGCATGATATTCTTATACTTGTTAACATTAATTAAGTCCTTTGGTGAAGTACTCTACCACTTATTGAGTAATCAAAGCTCCCTGTTGTCCTAACCTGAATTCATTTCACATTCAAGTTTACTTGACTCATCCTAGGAGAGAAAATTCTTGATCTACCCACCCCAAGGAGCATCTGTAAGGAATAGTAAAGGATTTGCATTTTATCATAGTGTGTTTAGAAGGTTTTAGCCCAAGGAGCGCCATCATTTGATTTATATATCTGAAGCTCACTTCTATATGAAAGAAGCCTTTGTGATGCAGCGTGTTAAGCACTGGATTACTAATCAAAGGGTTGGAGATTCAAAACTACCAGCCTCTCTGTGGAAGAAAGATGAAGCAATTGGCTTAGTTAAAGACTTATTGCCTGAGAAACTCCTACAGGGAAGTTTTGCTCTATTGTATGTGTTCTCTATGATCGGAATCTACTTAATGCAGGTAGATTTTAACTATGGATGGCTCTGAACAGATCTTAGCTTCTCTTCAGAGAACAACATAGAGGCAGGGAAGCCATTGGGAAGTGCGGAAGCTAGTGATGGGGCTTAATTGTACAAGATATTGTTTTTCTTGAACAACATATCAACAGAGAAATGCCAGGTGTGCAAGCTGGGTTTAGAAGAGGCATAGGGAATTATAGCTAATATTAGAAAGATCTTGACTGAAAGCAGAGAATACAGAAGAAATGTCTTTCTGTGTTTCATTGACTATGCAAAGGCATTTGACTGTGTGGACCACAACAAATTATGGCTAACCTTGAGAAGAATGGATATCCCAGAACACTTAATTGTACTCATGTGAAACCTATACTTGGACCAGGAAGCAGTAGTCAGAATAGAGCAGGGAAACACCACATGGTTCAGAATCAGGAAAGGAGTGCATCAGAGATGCATCCTATCTGCATGCTTTCTCAATCTATATGCAGAACAGATCATTTGGAAGGCTTGATTTCATGAGGAAGAATGTGGCATCAAGACTGGAGGATGACTCATCAACAACCTGAATTATGCAGATGACACAATCTTGCTTGCTGAAACTGAAGAGGATATAAGGCATTTGCTGCAGAAGGTCAAGTACAGAACTGTAGTCTTCAATATGGATTGAAGCTCAACATCTAGGAAATAAAGATTTTCACCACCGCACCAATTATCAGCTTCATGATAGATGGAGAAGAGACTGAGATTGTTACCAACTCCAGCTTGCATGGTTCTACAATCAACACACTTGGCACCAAAAGACAAATTATATTGGCCGAGTCTGCTATTAGTGCTCTCTAGAGTACTGAAAAACAATGATGTCAGTCTGGAGAATAAGGTGTGTCTTACACAGGTCATGATCTTCACATTACTTGCTATGCATCAGATTGCTGGACAATGACTAAGAATGATAGAAGAAGAATCAGTGCCTTTGAGATTTGATGCTGGAGAAGAGTATTGAACATACCATGGACTACTAAGAGAATAAACAGGTCTGTCTTGGAGAGGGTGAAACTCGGCTACTTCCTGGAGGAAAGGATTTTGAAGCTGTGTCTCACATACTTTGGGCGCATGGCCAAGAGGATCAATCCTTGAAGAAGGACATTATGCATAGAAGGGTAGAATGATAGTGCAGGAGAGAAAGGCCCAGGGTGAGATGGATTGACTCAGTGACTGCAGATTAGGTCTGTCAGAGATGATGGGATTATCATTACTTTTCTTACTCAAAATTATTTTTCTTACTGCTCTGAGAATGAGAGAAGTAAACGGAAGGCACCTTTCAAAAATACTACCCCATTCACTGTTTCAATGACTAACGTATTTACATAGTATCTTGATCTTTTTTGCTTAATTTTTTTCAAAAACAAGTCTCTAGTCGTTGCTATTATTGGGTGCCATTGACTCAAGTATGACTCATAGCAAGTCCTACAAACAACAGATTCAAACTTTGTCTATCATCATCTCTGACATAATTGAGCCCATTCTTGTGTCAAGACGTCTTGTAGAGGATCTTCCTCTATTCCACTGACCTATCCAAGCACAATGTCCCTAAGATGTCCTTTTCCTTCTCCCTTTTCTGTCCCTAAAGGTATATCTAAGTCAGAGGAGAGATTTTTTTCAGATAAACTATCTTTTCTGAAGAATGTTGTTAGCTGCCAGAGAATAAACTCTACGTGTTGTTGTTGTTATTGTTATGTGCTGTCGAGTCGCTTGTGACTCATAGCAACCCTATGTACAACAGCCCTAAACTCTGCTCTTTTTCCAATCTCATTGTCTCCGACACACCATGCCGATTACCCCAGTCACTGAATCAATCCACCTCATAGCGGGCCTTCCCCTCCTGCACTGTCCCTCCACCCTACCAAGCATAATATCCCTCTCCGAGGACCGGTCCCTCCTTACAACATGTCCAAAGTATGTTAGACAGAGCCTCAGAATCCTTGCCTCCAGGGAGCCACCCGGTTTAACCCTTTCCAGGACAAATCTGTTTGTTTTCCTAGCAGTCCGTGGTACCCTTAATACTCTTCTCCAGCATCAATTCTCCTTCTATCCTCCTTAGTCACTCACTGTCCAACTCTCTGATGCATAACAAGTGATAGCAAAGACCATGGCCTGTATCAGATGCACCTTAGTCTCCAGAGAGACATCATTGCTCTTCAGTACTTTGGAGATTAAAAGACGTATTGATTGCAATGGGAAACTCTACATAACTGAACAAAATGCTGCCTGATCTTGAGGCATCTTTAAGACGGTTGGTGTGTGAATCCATCATTGTAGATGGTGGTGCCTTCCAACCTGCAGTCATCTTCCCGCAGTATATCAAATGGATAAGATTCTATTGTGATTCTTAAGGTTTTCATGGGCTAATTTTCAAAAAATTATCAGCCTTTCTAGACTGCTTTGCTGAAACCCGTCACTAGAGGTGACTCTACTAGTATCTGAGATATCAATAACATAGTTGCTAGCATCATATCAACATGCAAGTCAAACTAGCAAACTGGTGGTAATTTGTAGCAACACTGAAATGTTATTCACATTTTCATTCTTTTCTAAGAGTTTGGTGACATTTTCCAGACTATACAAAGTAGTGTTTCCAGAGACTACACAAGAAATAGAAAGTTGCTGCTGTTCTTTTGTACAATCAAGTCAGTTTGAACTCTTAGCGACCTCATTCACAACATAAACATGCACAACAAAAGGAAACATTCCCCAGTCCTGCACCATCTTCAACAGTCCTTGCTGTGTTTAAGTCTGTTGTGCATTCAGAATCTCCCTCACAAGGGAGGCAACAAATAGAACACAGAAGGGTATGTGAGGATTCAGAAATCTATGAAACCAGACACTAAATGGACTTGCAAAATGGTAAACCAATACTACTTCTCTGAGTAGACTTCTTTGGGGCTAAGGAGTGACTGGTCCTTGGAGAGGGACATCATGTTTGGGAGAGTGGAGGGGCGGCACAGGACAGGAAGATCCGAGATGAGATGGATTGATTCTGTAATTGGAGTGGTGGGAATGAGTGTGTTTGAGACGGTGAGGTTGGCACAGGATAGAACGGCATTTAGGACTGTTGTACATATGGTCGCTATGAGTCACAAGCAACTCGATGGCACATAACAACAACAACATGTCACTGATGTTAATGTGTAAGGGGCTTCTTCTTGTGAATGAATCACTCATTCACTCATTGCCCTCAAGTCAGAACCAACGCACAGCTGCTCCAGCGGGTTTTTGCAGGCTGTAAGTGTCAGGAGAATAGATTGCTCTCATCTTTCTTGCGAAAAGCCTATGGTAAATTCAAACCATTTGAAGGAACTGCCTTCAGGTTAGCATTGCGACTCCCCTACAGGCCACCGGCACCCTTTTCCTTTAAAATTTCAACTATAGTAAATAACTGGGAACCATAGTGGCCTAGTTTTAAGAATCTGCTCTGCAATCCCAAAGGCATGAGGTTCGAATCTGCCAGTTGCTCAGCAGGAGAAGGAAGGATAGGCAATCTCCTCCTCCTGCTGGAGGGTCAGCTACCTGTAAATACTAACAGAAATAACCAGAATCCTCACGTATTTATTAGTTACCCTGAGGGAGTTGTGCTGGTGTTAGAATCCACCAGCAGCTCTGTGAGAGAAAGAGAGCCCAATGTCTCCCCAAGTGATTTACAGCCTCTGATAAGCCACTGCTTTGGAGAGAGGGGGTGCAGAGGAAGGTGAGGGTCTGCTATGAGTTGCTTACAACTTGACAATGAAATGAGGACACTGACACATTTGAGAACCAGTGGCCTAGGTCATTCCCAGTGTTGGATGATTTCTCTTAGTTTTCAAAGTCCTTGGCTACAACTTGGTTGATAACGTCTCTCTGTAAATAGCCTCCTCTCCTCCCCTTCTAGGACTGATCGCCAATGGGGCAGGCACAGGATGATGCCTCAGGCCTCTGCTCCTGACATCGCCTGTATGCTGTCACCTCACACCCCAACATCCTTGGCCCTCTTCTACAACCACATCTCAGAAGGCCTTCTGCCGTCTGGACACCGCTCTCCTGTCCAACCAAGGCAACAGCACTCTCCCTTCTGGGGCTCTCCACCCTCTTGCATCCCTTAGCGCACCTTCAGGACCTGGCCGCCCCCCTACCTGCCAGGCAGGCCACTGTGTCGATCCACTTGAGCAGCTGCCCTGCGCTCAGCTCCCCGCAGGCATTGGCGTGCGCAGGCTGAATCTTCTGGCTCATTTGCACTTCAGCGGGCGCCTGCGGCTCCATGTTCAGGCAGGAGAGTGAAGCCCCAGGCAGAAGCCGCTGCTCAGATCCAGGTCCGCTCTCCCACTGCCTGCTGGCCACGCGCCCGCCTGCTCCAAAGGGCATCCAGGAGGCCAAAGGGCAAGCAGCGCGTCAGCGTCAGCGAGGTGCAAGTCCACCTCCTGAGAAAGGAGGTGAAAGAGAGTGCTCAGGTTTTAGAAGTTCCATTCTGGGCAACTGTGGTAGCCAGAGCAAGGAATATCAGGAGTTCCTTATCTATAAAGAGCAGATAACACGTTACAAGATATAGGAGAGGGCAGCATCAGCGCAGGGCTGTTCAGAGAATGTTGTTAGGTGCCGTCCGGCTGACTGACTCACAGCGACCCTGTGAACAACGCATCTGAACCTTGCTCCTTCCTGAGCCATCCTCACCTTCACATGCTATAGTCATTCTGTCAGTACGTCTTGTTGAGGGTCTTCCTGTTCCACTGACCCTTCCTGTTTCACAGAAACCGTTCTCAGCATGATGTCCTTTGCCAAGGACTGGGCCTTCCTAACAACACGCCCCCAAAACGTGATGTGAAGTTTCACCATCCATGCCTCTGAGAAGTACCCTGTTTGTCCTTTCTCCAAGTGAGACACCAGGATGACCTATTAACACAACTGTTATTCAAATATTCACACTAACCACTAAAGTGAAAATGAAGAAAATGAGGGCTTCCACCAGTTTTTTTGGATTCTGAAATAAATTAAACATGCAATTATTGGTGACTGAAATGCAGAAGTTGGAAACAAAGAACTGGTTGTCAGAAAATACTACTTTGGAGATGGAAATGAGGCTGGAGATTGACTTCTGTTTTATCTAAATTTTTTTTTATTATTATTTTTTGCTCATGTACCATCAAATCAGATCTGACTGGTACAGGAGGAAATTGTCCCTCCTTCTCCAGCAGAGCATCTGGTAGATATGAACAACGATTGACTTTTGTATAACCATGATTTATTAATTGCGAATGCTTTGACATTACTTTGTAAGGAGGATAAAATTAGACAAGGTGAGGAAACTCATGGTATGTCCTTGGCTAAAACAAAAATAATTCTTTGCAGTAGAGTTGGAACTGACTCATAGTTTGCCCACCAACAGGTTTTCAGAGGCTATAAATCACTTAGTAAGATCTTCAGAAGATTTTTTTTAATATATAATGACAACTGTATATACACAAGAAATTGTTGGACATTCAAGTTGAATTCAGAAGAGGCTATGGAACAAAGGATGTCATTGCTAATGTCAGATGCATCTTGGCTGAAAGCAGAGAATTTCAGAAAAATTATTTTTTGTGTTTTATTGACTATGAAAAGGCATTTGACTGTGCAGATAATAAAGCATTACGGCAAATAGTGAGAAGAATAGGAACTCCAGAACACTTAATTGTATTCATACATAAGATATAACTAGACAAAGAAGTAGCAGTTACACAAACAGAACAAAGAAGCCCTGCATGATTTAAGAAGCGATGTATCAGCAAAAGTGAGAAAACAGCTTGTACCTTTCTCTATATCTATTCTGTCTATGTTGAACAAATCATTTGACAAAGCTGGATAATTTCTCCGCATCCTTGCTTGCATTTGTTATTTACTACATTATTGAACTTTGCTATTGGTGCTGAGGAGAGATGACATTTCATTCTTGTTAGTTTGGTTTTTTTATTGTTTTAGTTTACTTACAAAATTTGAACACATTTTTTTCTCGCACCAGTTCCTTCCCATTTCCCTAACCGCCCCCTCCACCGATCAAATTGTGATAATTCATGATTAATTCCCTCCCCCCACCCCCCGCTCATTAATACCCCTCTGTATCCACCACTCCCTTCCCTCAGATCCTCATGTTCATTCTACAATAACAGTTTTATACAGTACTTGTTATGATGGGACTGAGTTAGTTCACTCAGCATAATGCTCTCCAGTCCCTCCCTAGCTGGGTAATAACTTACAAAATTATTGCTTCTGTGTGCTGCCTAGTATTCCATTGTGTGAATGTATCATAACTTCTCAATCCATTTGATTGTGGTTGAACATCTGGGCTGTTTTGATGTGCATCTCTCTACTGTGACTAACTCTGAGAATAGGAATCCCAGAACACTTGACTGTGCTTATGAAAAACTTACACTTAGACCTAGAGTCAATCATCAGAACAGAGCAAGGAAACACTGCGTGGTTCAAAATCAGGAAAGGTATATACCAGGGAAGCATTGTATTTGTAGATTGCTTTAGATAATATTACCCTTTTCATAGTATTAAATCTTATGACCAATGATCATAGAATATTGTTTATTTATGTAGTGTTTTTTTGGATTTCTTGTAGTAGCATTTATTAATTTTGTACTCTGCCACTTTGCTGAATTGGGCAATTAGATTCAATATTTTTCTTACTGAGTCTTTGGGATTTTTCCTATATAATATCCTTTCATCTGCATACCACAATAGTTTTACTTCCTCTTTGCCAATTTGTATGCCTTTGTTTTACTTTTCTTGCCTTATTGCTGTGGCTAGAACTTCTAAAACAATACTGATAAAGTGTAACCTTGTCTGGTCTCCATTCACAAAGTAATGCCTTCAAGCTCTCTTCATTCAGAGTTTTGTTGGCCATTGGTTTTGTAGGTATGCTTTCAATTATGCTGAGTAATTTAACTTCTATTCTGATTTTTCTATTTTTATCAGGAAATGGTGTGAATTTTGCTAAATGCCTTTTCTGCACCATTGAGGTGATCATGCGGTTGTTTACTTTTGTTTTATTGGTGTAGTCAATTGCATTGGTTGTTCTTCCTAGTGTTGAATCATGATATAAAAAACTGGTGACACTTTTTCAACCTATTGTTGTTTTGTTGTTATGTGCCGTCGAGTCATTTGCAACTCATAGCGACCCTATGTACAACAGCCCCAAATCATGCTCTATTCTGTGCCAATCTCATTGCCTCTGACACACCCATCATGATTACCCCAGTTACTGAATCAATCCACCTCATAGAGGGTCTTCCCCTCCTGCGCTGTCCCTCTGCTCTACCCAGCATGATGTCCCTCTCTAAAGACCTGTCTCTCCTACAACATGTCCAAAGTATGTCAGATGAAGCCCCAGAATCCTTGCCTCCAAGGAGCAGCCTGATTTAACCCTCTCTAGGATGAATCTGTTTTCTTGGCAGTCCATGGTACATTCAATACTCTTCTCCAGCACCACCTACAAATGGACTTAATTTCTAGGTGGATGTTTCATTTGTTTCTATGTTATTATTACTCTTATTTGCCCTCGTGTGAGAGCCAACTCATAGCTGACCTTCAAGCAGATTTTCAGAGGCTGTAAATTGCATGGTAGGAGATTGCCTATATTTTTCCTGTTAAGAGCCTGGTGTCTAGCTCTAGGTTGGAAGCACAACTAGAATTCCCTATAATGACCTAAAATCCTGTATGGTATGTGTCATTATCATATATACATGTATAAGTACTCATAAAGTGAACTTAGAATAATTCATAACTTTGTAAGATTCTAATATTAATTTCAAGTCATTGGAAATCTGTAAGCCACAAAAACACTAGAAATTTTCAGAACTTGAACATAGAAACAGAAAAGCATGTTAAATACATTAAGAATTGAAACAACCTTTAGATTTTCCTTGACCCAGCAAGCTGTGACTGAAACATAATATAAATATAAATGTCCCTAAACCCTAATCTGTCTAAACCATCAACAACTTCATCTTGCTTGGATCCATAATTAACACCTTTGTTACCAGCAGTTAGGAAGTCAGGAGATATATTGCACTGGGAAAGTGAGCAGTTAAGGATGTTTCCAAATTATTGAGAAGCAATGATGTAAGTTTGAGGACTAAGGTGCATCTGTTTCAGGCCATGATCTTTCTGATCACTTGCTATGCATCTGAGAGCTGGGTAAGTAATTAATAAGGATGACAGAAGAAGAATTGATGCCTTTGAGCTGTGATGTTGGAGAAGAGCATTGAAAATCCTATCAACTGCCAAAAACCAAACAAATGTCAAGCGTGCAGCGAGAGTGCTCCTCGGAGGCAAAGATGATGAGGCTTCACCTCACATACATCGGGCATGTTACTAGAAGGGGCTATTCCTTGGAGAGATATATGATACTTGAAAGGGTGGAGAGCTGATGAAGGAGAGGAAGACCTTCGACTTGTGGGATTGACACTGACTGCCACAGTGGGCTCTGGTGTGTCAGGAAGTGTGACGATGGCACAGGATAGGTCAGGATTCAGATCTGTTGCTCATAGGATTGCTATGAGTGGTACTCAATTTGATGATACCTAACAACAACAACAGCAACCTCTTATCTTAAAGAGAAGATCATCATTCGAATACTCTCTAACCCTGGAAAGCAGACATAAAATACTTAAAACTTGTGTATCTAAGATATAGATATTAAGAGACTATACGCATCATTTAATGAAAATGTTATTGCCCACATAACTTTTGACATTCATCTCTGGAAAAGAGGGAACTCTGCTGGCCTAGTTGTGCTGTCAACCCAAAAGAAAATTGTGTGACTTCACCAGCTGCTCTGAGGTGAAAGATGAACCATCTCTTCCTACACAATTCACAGCTTTGGAAAACTTGCTGGAGAGTCAGCTGTGAAGTTCTAACTCCATGGCACATAACAACAACCATAACTTTAAGAAATGCTTCAGAGTTATTAGTACTTCCTCATGACATATTCTGTATCACAATTTGTTGTTTGTTGTTGTTTGATGCCGTCGAGTCGTAGATGACTCATAGTGACCCTATGAACCAATGACCTGAGCACTGTTCGTACATAGAGTTTCCAGAGGCAAGCCATTTCGGAAGTGGATGCCGCTCCTGCTTCCAGGCTTGATTTAGTCGGGAAGCTCCAGCCAACACTGTCCACCATGGGTACCCATTACCATGATTGGCACATCACTGTCACAGTCTACAGCATCACAATTTAGGAATTGGTAAATTATTATTCTCTTCCTCACTTGACAACA